AAACCATAAAAATAAAAAATACAGCTGAGCCATAAAATACCACTAGATGGAATCATTGATTTTAGCTTTGGAAGAACATAAATCAAAATCTAAAGCATGGCTGTCAGGAGGATCACCAGAAATATCCATTTGAGAGAGGGTTGGAGTGCAGGGTATTCTCTTTCATTTTTCAAACTGAGCTCAACTCCTGATGCATGGAGAAAAGGCCTTCACAAGCTTCTGCTATTGTGTACCTAGTTTATACTAAGTAACCCATAGGTTGAGGAGGCGGTGACCATGGTGGTGTAGGTGGAAGCAGTGGTAGAGGAGGAGGTAGCCAACACTGCTTATATATATAGACAAAGGAGGAGTAGTAGGAACATTAATAGAATTTAAAGGGGTGATTTTAACGATGCAAGACTCTTGGCAGGTCTCGCTCCAAGAAACTATTTGTCCTGACTCCAAGTCAAAAATGGGATTGTGAGAACGTAACCATGGGTACCCTAACACGATGTGAGAGGAAAGAGAGGTGATGACCTGAAATCGAATGGTTTCTGAGTGTAACATCCCTGTATACATATGCAACGGTTCGGTTTCATGTGTAATAACTGAGGAGCATAATGGTCTACCATCTATGGCCTCAACGGCCAAGGGTGTCTTCTTCTCTCTAATGGGTATGTTGTGTTTCCTAACAAAACCAGAATCTATGAAATTCTCAGCTGCCCCGGAATCAACTAGGGCTAGTATGTTCCCAGCTATGCAATTCTTTTCCATATGCAGAGAAACAGGGAGAAGTAATCGGTTAAGAGGCAATTTTGGGGACTTAAATATCACACCCAAGGCCAGTCCTCTATATGGCCTTAGGTGCGATAGTTTTCCGGAAGCACGGGACATTCTTTTAGCATATGGCCCTTCCTACCACAGTACAGGCAAAGTCCCTCCTTTCTCCTATACAATTTTTCAGCATCAGAGAGTTTGGCAACCCCTAATTGCATGAGTTCCTCCTCTGATACCTTGAAACTCTCAGGATTAGCAACTCTAGGAGTATTTAATGTAACAAAACATCTATTCCTATTCTTAGTATAGAGTCTGTCACGAATCCTATTGTCTATATCAATGGGCTATTCAATAAGGTCCTCTAATGGGATAAGAAGATCCCTAGCCGCTACCTCATCCAGTATAGTGTCAGATAAACCTTCCATAAATGCAGTAGTTAGCCCATTGTTGGTCCAATCTACCTGTGAAGCAAGGGTACGAAACTGAATAGCATAATCAGCAACAGACCTAGATCCCTA